GAGTATCCATGTCATTTAATTTAATATAATGAGTTTATTATTTTTTTAAGGAAAATACAAGTCTTTTGGATAAAAAATTGGACAATTCGAACACTTGTGAAAAACGAAAAAAAGTTTTATTTTTAATCGGTTCAATTGATACCGTGCCATAGTAACCGTTGCAGAACTCAATTGGGTCACGAATCTATTTAAGAAAGAATTCAATTGGATCATGAATCTACTCAAGAAACTTGACATCAACGTCACATCTACTCCTACAATATATTATAACAATATCGGAGCCACTTACCTATGCACCAATCTAGTATTCCACTCATGTATGAAACACATAGTCATCGATTTTTCATTTTGAAAATAAGTTGTCACACATCAACTATGTGTTTCTACGTATTCATTCACGAAGCCTATTAGCATCCCCATCTTGCGGGGGCATGATAACAACTAAGATCTCCCTTGATACTTTAACAACAGTTAAGATTTTTTTAACTACATAAGAAAATATCGTAAATCTGTTAAGAAAAATCTTAGAAAAATTCTCCCTCATATGTATAAATAGAAAGTATCGTATCAAATTCTAATAACATCTTGGTATTTTATTTCTAACATGATCATACTTCATACCAAGAGAAACATCTTCCCGATCCCAAACATGATGAGCCCAGATCAACTTTACGATTTCGAGACAACGACCAAAATTGACACTAGCATAACAATATCATTTTTGGGCTGAGGATCAAATACTCAGGGCAATGATTGAGATGAGATGTGAACTGAACAGGATAGTCCATATATCTATCTTTACAATACATGGAAAAGACAAGGACAAAGACAAAGCCTTCTCATGGCAATCAATCTTGTGCTTTGGCCAGTTTCAAGATCACTCCACCATGGAATACAAACTCCAGAAAAAGTGAAAAAGGGTAACAAGACCTCAACTCAAAGATGGAGAAAGCATCAAGTTCTTTGTTCTACCCATATGGGGCAGACTTTGACTGCACTGTCATGCATCTCCATGTGATGCCAGACCTGTCATAGTTCATGAAAGTGGAGTCTCTGCTATGGAGTGATGGGCATGAAAGTGAGAGCATGTCGATGAGCTTGTATGGATCTGAGAACTCTTTTTGCAGCACAACTGTGCAGCTGAAGACGTTGGAGATGACCATCAGTCAATTTCACACCTCTTTCACATAGAATCTTCTTACTGTATTATGTTTCATTGATTTCCTTTCTGACTAATCCAGAATAAGAACAGTAGACATCCTGTATTGCTTTATGTAGATCGGATAGAGCAAGTGGATGCACAGCAGACACTATTTGGAAGATTGCAAGACCAACAATGGTGGCCTGCACACAACACAATCTCTTATCATCCAACAATGCTGTTAAGGAGTTCAGAAGCTTCAATACTGCCAAAATGAGACATCGATTTCTCTGCAACTCCATGCAACTATAAGAGCTGCCTCAGCATGGCCGTCACTCGGTATAAACAACACATGAAATATAAAATCTAAGATGCTTCACAAGCTCTCTCAGCGTAAGCTACCACTGCATGCTTATCCAGTTGTTGCAGCATAATGTGTCTGTGCTGGCTGGTAGAGAGAGAGAGAGAGAGAGAGAGAGAGAGAGAGGTGGCCAGTGGAAGGTCCAAGGAAGGGATGGGTTGGAATTGACCCTCCATGTGAGTCCAAGCAAGAGAACGATGGGGGGATACCAAAATTTAGTTCTTTGGATGCTTGTGATTCTTGTAAACATGCAGAGGAAAGCGAAGTGAGGGAAAGAACATAGTGCAAGAAACAAAAGAGTGGAAGGAGTAGTGGGCTCCTCCAATCCCTCGGCAAACCCTATCAATGCTTCATAGAGTTGCAGGACCAATCAACACTTGTATTGGGGTTGAGATGAGACGTTTAAACCAATCCAAAGTGACGGAAATTAGAATACGATGCATAAACGTTCTTCTTTATGTTTGATTCGAACTACCAATACCTAATCATTAATTCCATACCTTTTTACATGGATCTCAAATGAGGGTTGATTTTGACGAAAGGATAGATGAAGTTGACTTGGTCCATCGGCCCTTCCTACCATATCATCCACCACTGACCCAAGTTAATGCAGTGTCATGGAGCACGACAAGGCTCAAAGGTTCCACGGGCAACACAGTGCCCCCGACGAAGAACCTATAAGCTAAAAGAAGTTTGTGGGAGGGTCAACGAATTCTCCCCTCATGCTCAAGTCAAAAGGTATTCGATCTATTCATGTCAAAATGATTGAAGGTCAAAGGTCAAAGTTTCTTTTTTATTTTACTTGTTCATGCATTGTGAGGGTTTATTTTCCGGACAATCAAATGTATGTCACTTGTAAGCTACATTAGCCCTTTGTCATCTTGTTGCTTGGCCCTTACAAATGCCTCCTCTCGTATCCGAAATCATCATCCCATGCTCTCTCTCTCTCTCTCATGGATTTAAGTCCTACCTCTGTTCTCTTGTGCCCTCCATTAGATATCAGCCATGGGAATGCAGGTGGTGTAATCTTCGACTCCTCGAGTCTTCGACAACAGACCACAATCCCCAAAGCCTTCATATGGCCGAGCACCGATAGGCCGGCCGCCACCGAAGAGCTCGACGCCCCGGTGGTGGACCTCGGTGGATTTTTCCACGGCGACGAGGAATCCACCATGCGAGCAGCCAAGCTCGTCGCGAACGCATGCGAACGCCACGGTTTCTTCCAAGTCGTCAACCACGGCGTCGGTGAGCTGCTCGCCCGAGACGCGCTCGACTGCACGGACGAGTTCTTCCGCCTCCCCCTCTGCGACAAGCTCCGCGCCCGGCGGAAGCCCGGCGGCGTGTGGGGCTACTCCGGCGCCCACGCAGATCGCTTCTCCTCCAAGCTGCCATGGAAGGAGACCCTCTCCTTCGGCTACCGCGAGGCCGCCGGCTCCGAGCGCATCGTCATCGACTACTTCGTCTCCGTGCTGGGCGAAGAGTTCGAGAGGATGGGGTAAGCTTCAGCGTCGACCGCACCACCATGCTCGACTCGATGGAACTGTAACGAGCCCAGCCGCTTCTGTTCTTGCAGGTTGGCGTATCAGATGTACTGCGAGGCGATGACAGGCTTGTCGCTGGCGATCATGGAGCTCCTGGCGATCAGCTTGGGTGCGGATCGAATGACCTACCGGGAGTTCTTCGACGACAACAGATCCATAATGCGATGCAACTACTACCCGCCGTGCCAAGAGCCGGAGCTGACGCTCGGCACCGGGCCGCACTGCGATCCCACCGCGTTGACGATTCTGCAGCAGGACCACGTAGGGGGGCTCGAGGTGTTCTCGGGCCGCGCGTGGCGGTACGTGCGGCCCGTACACAACGCTCTCGTCGTCAACATCGGCGACACCTTCATGGTCTGTGATCGTCTCCCACATTACCATGTGTGCTCTGCTCCGAAGCATGCAGAATTCACGTTTACATGCAGCTTTAAGATTCACGTACTCCAAAAACATGTAGACGCAGTAAAATAGGCGAAACAGTGGTGTTGATTAAGTGTCAACATTTTGATGCGTAAATTAATTTTCATTAATCTATTGATAATAATAATAATAACAATAATTATTTATTATTATTGCTCGACAGGCATTATCTAATGGGAGGTACAAGAGCTGCCTGCACAGAGCGGTGGTGAACAGGCACAGGGAGCGGCGATCGCTGGCCTTCTTCGTGTGCCCTAGGGAGGACAAGGTGATCCGGCCGCCGCCACCGCCGCCGTTATCGGACGATGTGGGCGGCGGGCCGAGGCTGTACCCGGACTTCACATGGGCGCAGTTCATGGACTTCACTCAACGCCATTATCGGGCCGACATGAGGACTCTTCGTAGCTTCGCTAAGTGGCTTGAATCCTCCTCCTCTGCTACAGCAACATGACTTCCTTGTGTTTGCTTCCATCGTTTCGGTCTGTGAATCCTGAGAGGTGTTGAGATCAGAGAATGCACGGCTCAATTTTGGAGTGTGGAGTTGTGTGTGTCTCTGTCTCTATATATATATATTTATATATATCGTAAATTCTAAAAAAACCTTTTATTGTCACTTTTTCGTTGAACGCTCCATTTTCCATTTATTCCCGTATGACATCGCCTTCGGCCCTCATCCATCGCCTCTGCCCCACTACCCACACCCTCGTTTCCTCTGTGTCTCCTCCTCCTTTGCATGTCCTCCCCTTCGTCCGATCTCGGTAACATCGACTCTCAACCGAAGGTGGAGAGGGGAGGGCAAGGACAGTGGGGATCATGACAACGGAGAAGAAGAGGTTAGAGGAAAAGAGGAGAGGCTGATGGGGTGTACACAACATAGATGGCTTGCGAGAACAAGGGGGAGACGGCGACTGCAGCAATAAAGAGGAAGAGGTTGGAGGAAGATGGGAGGGGAAGTGGTGACTGCGACGGCGGAGAGGAAGAAAGAAGGGGACGTGAGGACGATGGCGACTGGCGGACCGACGAGACAAAATAAAATGCAGAAAAATCACGCCCGGTGGGACTCGAACCCACAATCGCCTGATTAGAAGTCAGACGCCTTATCCATTAGGCCACGGGCGCTTGTTGTTGCGTAATGTATCTTAAAATCTATTATCCTTTTATGGATAATAGATTTGTCATCAACAATACAATTGTCGGTTTAATTCTTGAGTTATTATTATTTAGACATTGCAGAAACCATTGATGTTATGCTTCATTAGAGTCACAGGATGCGACATCTTTTATTTATCTTCTTCTTCTTCTTTTGATCATCCTCTTTTCTGGTGTAGAATGACTCATGCATGCATGAAACTGTGTGGATGCTGTACTACTCCTGCTCTTGATGCTGGTAGAACATGAGACCCAGTCTGAGAAAACTGCTGCCCATGCACCATCATAGCACAAAATCATGGACAAGAATGATGAAAGGAAGGAACACTCATCCATACCTTTGCAGTGCCCTGTTCAGTGTTCATCTCTTTACCCACCAAAAGCTATCCTCCTTTGTGTTCTTTTATGTTACACCTGCAAAGACGAGAAATGAAAGAAACACCAGCCATCATTCTTCAGCTGGCAGCAGTTTCCATCGCACAGCCTTGTCAGAGCCTCCCTGTGCTGCGCCATCCCCAATTTAGGAGGCCATCTTGGAATCAGATGTTGACTGCTTTGCTGCAATCATGGCGATGATGAGCTGAGGGGACACCTGTGTTGCTTCTGGTCTCTCTTGCGGGCATGAACGTAAGCAGCAATCACATGATGCCCTTTGAGAGCTCCTTCCTCCTCCTTTTTGCATGGCTCTCAGGTGCTTTGAGCCCCCCTCCCTCCCTTTACAACCTTCTTTTCTGTCTCCTTCCGACGTAGATGCTCTTCAGTAACCAAAGGAAGCTTTCCCCCCTCTTCTTGCTGCAGTCTTTGAGCTGTCCGCATAAAACAGAGATAAGATACTGTAGAGTTTTGGCGTCAGTTTAGAGACAGGTTATCATGTTCAAACCTGAGGCTGCAGGGGAGACGAGGCGAAGGTCGCTCTCGGTCGCCAACAACAAGGACTCCGTGTAGCTCGATCCACATGGTAATTGGCGATGCCGTACTTTGAGGCGCAGCAATGTCGGATGCTTGTCTGCGGCTGCAGCTACACTTAACCCAGAGGTGAACAGGGGAGGGCATCGCCATGCACTGCTCCTCGCTTAGGGAGGAGGTGGCCGAGGAGTGGGGCAACGCCGTGGTTGGGTTGCGGAGGAGGAGGACAAAAGTGTCCCAATCTTGATGCCAGCTGCACCTCCTCCTGCATTAGCCACCTGAAATCATAGTTATCGGAACGAGATTGAACTCCAATAGGATCATATTAATAATAAACTCATGGCTAATTATCCATGCATTGACAAGATAATTATTAGTATTATGGTCAACTCCTAGAAGAATGAGTCAAAGCCGTGTAATATGACATGCCATGACCATTAAAGCCCGCCAAACTCTCTTCCTTAGTTAAGGGAAGAAGAAAGGAGCAATGAAGAGACAGGTAGAGCTCATCAGCTTGCTTCTCCAGATTCCATGGCTTGCTCTTCTTTCTACCACTAAACAATGCGCCATGGCAGATTCCCAATCATCCTTCTCCCTCCACAGCAGACACCCTTCATCATTGCTTTCGACCGATCATCTTCTTAAGGCCGAGCTCCTCCCTTGTCTTGCCACACCCATCCCCCTTGAATCCACCAACCTCGTGTGCTCGTCTTCCGAGCTCCCTTCTCCACCATGAAGCCTTCTTCCAGCTCTGTCAATGGTTTCTTCTCCTTCCTCGCCCATGGCCTCGACGACCTCGACCGTTCCCTCGCGTCCGACGCCTTCATGTCCCTCCAGTTCCTCTACCGCGCCGCGGGCCTGCTCCGGGCGCTCCACTCCCAGCTCACCTACCTGGTGCCGAAGCTCCACCTCCCTGTCGGTGGGAAGTGGCTCGACGAGTACATGGACGAAAGCTCCCGCCTTTGGGACGTCTGCCATGTGATCAAGCTTGGCGTCTCGGGCATGGAGAACTACTGCTCCGCCGGAGCTGACATGGTCTCCTCGCTCGAGGAATGGCGCCGCAATCCCAATTCCCACCACGCCCGCCAGGTCTGCGTTGGCTCCCATGCTCTCGTTCTTCTGTTCCCTCTCAAAGCTCTGACCTTTTTCGACTTCTCTGCTCTGTTAAGGTGAAGCGGGCGATCTCTATTTGCCGGAGAGAGGCCATGGGGTTGGAGGAGGAGAACAGAGTGCTGATGGAGACGAGGATCGAGCCCATGTCGCTCCGGTTCGACGACCGGGCGCCCATGGAATCCAGGTACAACAACGGATACAATGGCTTCAGGGGAGTGCTGTACGCGCTGAAGAACTCCAGCTCTCTGCTGCTGATGATCCTGCTGTGGGGATCAGTCTCCTGCTGGCCCGAGCCGGCAGTCATGGAGGACTCCCTTTTCTTCGGCCCCGGCTTCATGGCCTCCATAGCGAGGCTGCAGCAGAGGGTGGTAGAAGAGACTGAAGGAACAGACGCCCGGCCGGGAATCCTGATGCATGAGTTCCGGCAGGCGAGGGCCGCGACTGAGGAGCTGCTGCAAGAGCTGGAGAGGGCTGCGGCCATGGGGTGTGAGTCAGATATCATGGGAGGAAGCCCAAAGGGGAAGGTGGAGGGATTGAAAGAATGGTTTGGAATGCTGAGAACTGGAACTGACATGCTTGTGGGCCAGATAGATGATTTCTTTGATGAGATCGTGGAAGGAAGAAAGAAACTACTGGATATTTGCAGCCATAGGTGAAGAAGAAGGTAGGCAGAACCAGTAACAAGCAAGCAAGATCTAACGAGTCTTCACACTGGTTCTTCTTTCTGTGTTCTAACACAAATAGCAGTAACACTTGAGCTTGTTGTTCCTTGCCATCGATCCAAATCTACCGGATTTCTTTGTTTTTCCATGTTATTGCTTTCAGATGTAATAGAAAAGGTTTTGTTTTGAGTATTAGAGGAAGTATAAGACCAAGAAACAGAGTGACTGCTGAGGAAAGGAAGCATTTGTTTGTGTTCAGGAAACTTGTCATCTTAAAGCTAAGAGGAAACAGGAAGGACGAATCTGCTTCTCTTTCCTCTCGCTCTCTCTCTCTCTCTCTCTCCCCTTGCTCTGCGTTCCTGTTATTAGCTGCTTTCCTTCTTGCCATCATGAATGGCTCCAGGGGAGCAGGAACAAGAGAAATGTAGGGCTGCAGATTCCTTGTTTGCAGTACAAAATTGCAGTTGACAAGACAAGCTGGCACTGCACCTTTTGATGAAAAAAGGCTTCTGGAATGGCAGCCTGGGACTGTGTTCCTTCTCTGCAGGTGAAAAAGGAGGCTGACATGATGAGCCATTGTTTCCATTAGAAAAGACAACATCCACTATTCTTCATGTCAAGAGTTCCAAAGTGTCGATGGAAGACTGAATCCTCTAAATCAAAAAACACCTCACAAGAAAGAAGTCAGTCTAATGGTTACTTAAACAACGAGCACTGAAGCTTTTAAGAACATCAAAAATCATGAAGTAGGAGAAAGCTATCGAGTACATGATCGAACACCTGTTTTAGACTGCTTTCAGAGATCTAGCTTGAAGAGAACCTTTGAGTAGTATACGTAATCCAAGCCAAAAATCCTGCTGATTTGACAGAGAAAGAAGTAAAACCTATTGACATAGTGTTGTTCTCTGGCATTTAGTACTTCAATGAATCCACTATTAATTCAAAGCCAGAAAAAGATTCATTCATATTCTAAAAGTTTGATTTCAGCTACTTCTGATAATAATACATGAACTCCAGAATCCCTTCAGCAAATGCTTGGCTCTGTTCTAAGAACATGAAAGTGACTATTAAGTCTGTGTATGAGTTTTATATTCAAAAACATATATGTAATGTAATATCTTTATTAGTCACACGTCCAAATTGGATAAGATTAAAATTAACTTATAAAAATCTGATGAATATATTATTATCAACTTAGCATTTTGATCAGTGATTTAAACCAAACGAAGTTGATAAATCAGTTAGTCCATCAAGACCGAATCATGATATCTAAAATCATCACATAAATTGATTTACTAATTCACACGTAATCTTACAATAGTAGAATGCTTATCATAAATAAATAGAGAAAAATATATATTTATTTATGATTATGTTCGCTCTTACAAATATTAAAAATATTTATCTCTTTTTTTTAAGCCAGTATTAATGATTATGAATTTCCAATATCTGGCAATATATAAAATCATATTATCCAAAGCCCTCATTATTTTATAATTTTTAATCAAAGATATATCTTAAATTATTTTATTTTTTGTCATAATTTTATTTTTTGTTTAATTATCTATCTCGATCTTCGAAACATAAGCACATGTAACTATAATTTAGTATTATATTTATTCACAATAATATTTATACCATTTTATATTTGATTCTTTAATATAATAAATTTTATATCCACTTTTTTTTTTCGCAAATAGATTATATCCACTTATTTAGTATTATATTTTTTTGGGCTAATTAAAAAAATCTTTATTTTTCTCAAAAAAATCATCTATTTTCAGAATTCTTTAACAACATATTTTTTTTCTATGAATCAGTCCATAGGATAAATTTGTTCAATTATAATATTTTTATTTCAATAATATCAAAAATATGACAACACAATACTAAGAAATAGATGATTATAATTATGAAAAAATACTGAAAAAAAGTCTAAAAAGAGAAGAAATTTTTTTTTTGTTTTCTAAACATCAGATTTATCATTCTAACATTTCAAAAAAATACTTCTATTTCTTAAATGGTTATCTTAATCATATGATTATAAAAAAGTCGATTTAATATAAGATGAGAGACCGTCAATTTTATACTGTGACGCGAATCGAAGTCGGGAGGTTAAGCGTCGCTTTCTTCCTTCCTATTCTTCGTTTGTTTGGGGCGGCGTCGTTGCTGAAGGCAAACAAACACTCACGCGGAACCGCGGACTCCACATCGATGTTTGTTGTAGTCCTATTTATAACTGAAGAGGCGAGAGAGAGAGAGAGAGAGAGAGAGAGGGAGAGAGGAGGTAGTAAGTGGA